ATGATGAGCTAAGCAAGACGCGTAGTCTGGAAAGTTCCAGAAGGGTTACATCATGTAACTGGGGGTATATAAGGTGTAGACAGTGTAGTTGTACTAGTGATGAATATATTGATTCCTCCCATAACCTCCATTATATACATCGATAAAACCAAAAGTGTATGCGCTATTGGTTACCTGAAGGGCTCATCAAACACAACCATCGTGGATTCCACCTCTTCAACAACAGGAACGTTGTGTGTGCTGGGAGGCGCTTCCGTTTACAAAAATCTACATGTAGGTGAAGAAGTGCATGCCCGAGGTTACAAGTGTCGAAAGGGTGTCCCGGCAACCTTCTGCGGCAATACCTTCAACTTTTATTGGGAAAGTCCGGTTGTGGAATGTTGGATTGACTGGTCTCATGTTGTAACAAGGTCTACGTCGCCCGTCCATTTACCCTGACAACCCGCCGGATACCCGACTGCGCATCCGCGACGCGTTACCCCGTCTTACCATTGTCACCTCGGCTTCTCGCCTCGGTTCCCCATCCGACTTTACCTCCTTCCCCCCTTTCTTCCTCTTCCCTTGTGTCTCGTCGCACCAAGCCATGACCCTGCCTCCTTTTCCCCTCGGCGCCCTCACCGCCTCAACACTTATAGATAGAGGTCGAATCCCCTTCTGTTTCCGAAGTAGTCAGACTTCCATTGACGGCTCCCCACCGTTCGTCTGTTCCTCTGTTAATCAGTATAACTTCTGTTTTCCGAATACATTTATTACTACATAAATGTCCTGTTTCATCTTCTGTTTTCCACCACGAGTTTGAAATCAAGTAAAACGTTTCTGCTCCTGCGCTTCCTCACATCCGTTCACTCCCCCTCTGCGCTTCTGTGCTTTCATTGCTACACATGTAGGCGATCTTGCGATGCGGGACTGGGTACAGGCTAATTTCAAACCTTTGAGTTACGAACCCATAAATTACTACAACCGGGACGAAGTTAATACCCTGCTCTCTCCATTGGCCTCGAGAGAGTATGTCTACTCAAGGTCTGAAGCAGGACAGATATTCCCGACCTTTTCTTATCTGCAGCAGTATTACAAACCGCTTAGTTGGGAACCCAAATTATCCAAATACTACAACCGATCCCAAGTGGACAGTATTACTTCAACATTGCCTTTGAAGGGCAGTTGTTATACCAAATTGGAAGCCGATCAAAGGTATAAATATATTGAGTATGAGCCTGACTTATCAAACTTCTTTTCACGGGACAAAGTGAACAGCCTAATTTCTCCGTTGGCCTCGCGAGCGTATGTTTACTCCAAAGCACAGAGCGATGCCAGATATATGTCAATCGGTTATCAACCTCCTACAATCGATCTCAGTCCATATGCTCTTAGGAGTACTCTAGACGATTACCTCCCCTGGCAAGTGGCTCAGGATTACTATGCTTCAAAGGACTCTGTCTATATTAAATCGGAAGTAGATGAAAACTTTGTTTCCAACACGTTCTTCAATGAGTTCACCCTCGGTGTATACACACGCGACATGACCGATTATCTATTTGTTAAACAGGGTGATGTATACACTAAAGGACAATCGGATGATCGATACCTGCCAATAACCTATTCTCCTCCGGCTCCACCAGATCTATCTCCGTACCTCCTAAAGACAACTGCCGACTCCTTGTACAAGCCCATTGGATAGACTCCCGATCTGTCTTCCTGTCTCACCACTTCAACAGCAAATACTCTATATAAAGGAATCGACTGGCAGCCAGACAGCAATATATATGCCTTGAAGTGCGACTTGAATTTTGTTCAACCTTCAGCGCTGAGTTCATATTATACTAAGACACAAAGTGACTCGAGGTTCGTCCTCACAGGTTCTCCCATCATCTTCCCAACGTCCGTTGGAGTCACTAGTTCAGATTCGAAGCGACGCTTCTTCTTTGCAAACAATGGTCGATCGTACCATTATAGCCCTGATGGACACGAATGGAGAGACTCTACCGATAGCAGTCCCATCTTGAGACTCAACAATGACGGAAGTCTAATGACGGGTAATGTCGCTCTCCAATATAATACTCTGTTCCTTGCCTTGAACAATGACGCAAATCATTATATTTCTCACGGGGTGTCTGCAGTTGCGGCCCCGAATTATAATAACGACGGTTTGGTACTCAATTCTGGAGTGGGAGGTCTTATTTTAGGGCAATCTGGTCAAATGGCGTTGAAGTGTTTGAATGGAGTTGTGTCGATCCCTGGGACTCTGAAGGTATCCGGAGGAGTCTCTCTTACATAGGTTTCGCTTCCACCAAGGAACGCTTCGGACACCCGGCCCGCTTATCAGGTGCAGGCCTTTATGCACGACAATGTGAACATATACTTGATGCCGCTTGGGATGGAAGCAATTTAAAGGCTTCTTTTGGATCTTTCTTTAACATTTCCAAATTCAACGGAAGCCTCTCGATTGGTGGAGGAAGTGCTCCAATTGGTAACACCGCCTTGTGAATTCATGGTGCAGTTGGAATACAAGTGGACAAATGACCTTAAGCAACAACACTGCAGACGCTATGACTATCACTGGCGGGCTAAAAGTCGGATCGTCCATCTACTCAGGTGGAAACAAGGTAGCAACGGAGTTGTATGTGAACAGCACTGTTAGCGCTTCTAAGTTGTGGGAAAGTCGAAATTCACTCGAACTGAACATTGGTGGTGGGGACACCCATTGTTTCATTGATTTTCATTCATCAGCAACAGCAACCGATTATAACTTCAGGCTATGTAGGGATCCTGGAGTGAACAGCCCAGCACGCATTCAACAACAGGGAACGGAACCTATCATCATTGAAGCCCTTCAAGCGACCGGCCTGTCTCTGTCTCCAACAAATAATGCTGTAGCCTCTGGAGGCTCTGTGGTTTTCAGCAGCAGTGTCAGGCATGATGGAGGCGTCGCAATTAACGGGTATACTGGCCAGCAACAGCAACAGGGGTATCAGTGTTTAGATGTTTTTGGAGTGGGTCCAGTAGCATCAACGCAGACCGCCAATGTAGGTTTGTTCGTAAAATATAGTATCGTGGCAAATACCTATTTTACCCACTCAGACCGACGATGGAAAGAGAACATTCGTCCTGTGTCTGGGCTGGATGTTATCGATAAGATCGAAGCCCGTGTCTATGACTGGAAGGACGCACTTCAAGGTAAAAACCAACTAGGTTTCATTGCCCAGGAAGTCATGGAGCATCTGCCGCAATGCGTGTATGAATTGCCTACTGACAATCCAACCGATGACAAACGTTTTCTAAGTGTTGATTATCAAGCCATGAGTTCTTTCCTTTGGCAAGTCGTGAAGGAGTTACAGGCAGAAGTGAAAGAAATTAAAGATTTATTAAGAAAAACAGTAGAATGAGTAATGATAGGTTTCTTTCAGGTGTCAACGACGATTCCCGGGTTAGATTACGCGTCAATATCATTCTAAGTACTCTAACAGAACCAGACGGACTGGAGAAGTGTCCTCTCCGTCCAATGCCCAATGTTGATGATGCAGACTTGTCGAAAGGAATCAAATCCGTGATCAAATTTAAATGGTGAGCCGAAGGATCATACAGGCAAAATCAAGCGCTGCAAGTTAATTAAAGTCCCCCTTTCTCAGTTACACTCTGCAGCCCTATGACATGACTCGACGAAATCACACCAAATTTCACCTACTCCGAGAGTTTTTCTCCGCTTCAAGCATTCCTCGAAGGGGTAACAGCCGGCCTCGGAATGCCCTTACAATCTCGAAGTCTCAGGAGCGTATTTGCCGGTACCTGGGATGACTGAAGGAGAGTGGAAAGAAAAATGCTCCATCCTTTGTCGATTTTAAAGATGTGGACGTCTTTCTAGTAAGCAGTGCACGTCAATGGATTTTGTGTGGGAAAGATGGGTGACAGGATCCATCAAAACCAGGACAAATATGTAGACAGTTATTTGGCACAAGTTCGCGGTCTATCGCATGGTTCTGTGGCCAACGCCATTACTGCCGTGATTGACATCCTGAAATTTCTGCGAGCCTGTTCGGGCGCACCCTTTGCACAGTGTCCGAAGATCGCAAGACTGAAGAGCCGAAGAAATAGGGCTCAGACGTTGGCGGAGAGAGAACGAAGATCATTGATGGCAGAAGATGATGGACCTTCCATCTTATGGGAACAGGTGCAGGCAGGGTTGAATGTGCGTCGATACATTTATGAAACAACCCGCTCGCAGCGGTGCTAAATGTTGGGAAAACTTTCAGGATCCTGGGAGGGATATTGGTCTGACAGGGAATTGAACCCCGGACCATCTGATATCCGGTACAGATGTCCTACCACTGAGCTACCAGACCTGTTAGGATCTCCTCATGTGCTTCATGATTACACACGTGTCCCTGTTAGGAGTATTCAAGTAGCTCAAGCGTAGGTTATGGAGGAATCACTATATTGATCACTGTGGAAGAACCACCATGTTCTGCCCCTTATATACTACATGATATTACATGGAAGAAAACTACTCGACCAATCATACGCGGGCTTGGTACAAGCCACACATCTATCCTAAATAGGTTAAAGTACGCGGCGTTATATCGAACACCCCCACTCGACGCGTAATGCTTACATAATCCGCCTATTTTCCAAATCGGGCTAAATTGCGCCGCATGACCCATTCCGCCGATCCAACTCCTTCTCACAAGCTACATTTCACCCATCGTCGTTGCCCACTTCAAAGGCTCAATGCCAATCGCCAATGGCTCTTCAAAGCCTATCAAAACCACTACCCCCCACTCCCACTCTCCACCGACGTCCTCCTGAAGTTTCCAGCAATTTCGAGCCCTTCTGGCCGTTTCCGGACCCCCTGCGACTTTCGCAAGTTTTTTGCACTTTGTGACGACTTTCCCGGCACCAATCCGGGACTCGTAAGCCGATGCTCCTGCTGATTTCAACTCGGCAGACGAGTGTTGGTCGTTGTCGTCGTTGTCGCTGGGTCAGACGCTCAATTTTTGTCGGTGTTTGGTGAGTTTTTCCGTCAGGAGCGGTTTCGTAAATATGTCGGCGATATTATCTTCCGTGGGAAAATGCTAAAGTCAAAGCGTTCCTTCTTTGATGCAGTCGCGCAAGAAGTGATAGCGAATGTCGATGTGCTTTGTTCGCTGCAAAGGACTGGCATTGTTGGCCAGCTCCTTCGCTCCAAAATTGTCGATATTCAAAATGGTAGGTTTTTCGGTTCTTGCATTCTTCGGAGTCAACTCGCTAACGATTCTACGCAGCCAAACAACCTCCTTCGCCGCCGCTGCAGCCGCAACATACTCCGCTTCGACCGTGGAAAGCGCAACGCAGGTTTGTTTCGTGCTTTTCCAGCTCACTGTTCCATTCGCCAGTTGTAGGGCGAAACTGGTTGTTGACTTCCTGTCCTTTCGATCTCCAGCCCAATCTGCATCGCAATACGCCACCAACTCCGCGCCTTCCACATCACCACGTCGATACGTGAGGGCGAAGTTTTTGGTTCCTTTCAGGTAGCGTAGAATTCGATTGACTGCTGTCCAGCAGGTCTTTGTTGGATTCTCAACGTGTCTCACAACGATTCCAACAGCAGTCGAAATATCCGGTCGTGTGCAAACTGCGGCGTATAGCAGTGCGCCGACCGTGGAGCGATACTCTGTCTGCGAAACGTCGGCAACTTCTTGTTTTCCACGTTCGCTCTCCTTCCCGCTTTCGTTTTCTTTTTCCCCCACTCGAATAGGTGAGTTTGGGTCCATCGGGTTCGGAGCAGTTCTGCAATCGCTCATCTTAAATTTCTCCAGCATCTTCCGTACGTACAACTCCTGGTCGATGCTTGCGACGCCGCGCTCGGGGTCGTATTTTATTTTTAGTCCAAGTAGGTGGTGGATACGGCCTGCGTCTGTCCTTTTGAAACGTTGGCGAAGTTCTTCTTTGGTAGCTTCCAAATCAGCCGCATTGGGCAACGCAATCACTATGTCGTCAACGTAAACCGCAAGAATAACAAATTTCTCTTCTCCATCCTTTCCATCCCCCACTCGTCGCACATAGAGGCAGGCTTCGTCAACGACGCGGACAAAGCCAATCTTCCTCAGGTATGTATCGAGGGTGCGGTTCCAAAGCAGGGGAGCTTGCTTCAAGCCATACAGGGCTTTACGAAGCTTGTAAACCCAACGACTTCGGGGTTTTTCGGTGGTGTCATAGCCTTCTGCTTGCTCAATGTAAATTTCTTTGTCGTTTTCTCCATTCAGGAACGCGGTCGTCACATCCATCTGGTGGATCTCCCACCCGTGTTGGATGCCAAGAGCAACCAAGGTGCGTAGGACAGCAATGGGGAGGGTTGGCGCATATGTTTCATCGTAGTCGATGCCAAATTGTTGGGTGAACCCGCGAACAACGAAGCGGGCTTTATGGCGGGCAATATTGCCGTCAGCGTCGACTTTGGTCTTGTAGACCCACTTGCTGTCGATCACATTTTTGTTAACCGGCCTTGGGACTAACTCCCATGTTTCATTTTCCAACAGAGCCTCAATCTCTTGCTCTTCGGCCTTCTTCCACCCCTCCGCATTCATCCACAACGCTTCCTTCCGGTTTGTGGGGTCCTTGGGGTTGGAGTCGGTGGCTTCCTGCATCAGGAAGGCCATCATGCCAAGCCGTTCGTCGGCATTGGCCTCCCACTCGTCCAGGGCTGTGGTTTCTTCCATCCGCTCGGCAGGCTCCCAGGTGTTCTCGGAGTCGTCAAAACCTTGCCACTTCACATGGTAAAAGGTTTAACCGTTCATGACCTTCTCGCCAACAATCTTCTCAACAATGAATTCTCCTTCAGGCAATTCTTCAACAGGCAGCTTTTTGAAATACATCTTTCTTTCGTCAAAGGTAACGTCGCGCCGCGTCACGACCGTTTTCTTTTCAGGATCGTACAGGCGGTAACCTTTCTCGCCAAATGGCTGTCCGTAGCCAATCATAACCAACTTCTCG